GCACTCTACCCAGGGGGGACAGCTTGAGGCTCTGTCTCAAAAAAAAAAAAAAAAACTGTACCTATTCCGACTTAGTGGTTACATGTAGCACATACACCGAAGGTGACGGGTTCAAACCTGGCCCAGGCCAGCTAAACAACTACCAAAAAAAAAAATACCCAGGCATTGTGGCGGGCAACTGTGTAGTCTCAGATTCTTGGGAGGCTGAGGCAAGAGAATTGCTTAAGCCCAAGAGTTAGAAGTTGCTGTGAGCTTTGACGCCACACGCTCTACTAAGGGTGACACAGTTAGACTCTATCTCAAAAAAAAAAAAAAAAAGAACTGTACCTATTCCTCTAGCACTCCTGTCTGTCCCCTTCCCCTTGCCTTATGTTTCTCCATGGCTTTTTTCACCATCTGATATGCTAGAATGTATGTTCCACAAGAGCAATGACTTGGTTTTGTTCTCTATCTCTGATACCTTAACGGATAGTCAATAAGGCCCAGTACAGGGTGGCTCACGCCTGTAATTCCAACACTGTGAGAGGCGAAGGTGGGTGGATTACTTGAGCTCGATAGTTCAAGACCAGCCTGAGCAAAAGCAAGACCATCTCTACTAAAAATAGCTGAGCATTAGGGTGGGCACCTTTAGTCTCAGCCACTCTGGCGGCTGAAGTAAGAGGTTTAAGGTTGTCGGGAGCTATGATGATGCCACTCTACCCAGGGCAGCAGAGTGAGACTATCTCCAAAAAAATAAAATAACAACAGTAGTCAATAAGTAGATAATACTCAAGTATTATTACTTAATTGGGTGACTATTTATTGGGTGCTTACTTTATAACAAGCTTATGTTAAGCATTTAGCATATATAGCATATATTTCATCCTTATAGTATCTTTATAAAGTGGATGTTACTTAGTTATCATTTTACGTATCAGAAAATCAAAGCTATTTACTGATGGGGAACATTAGCAAAGGAGCAGATTTAGAAAAGTAATAGTTTTGGATATTAAATTTGAGATACCCACCTATTGGATGTCCAGTACCCAGCGGACATCCAGCTAGAGATGTTAAGTAGGCATTTATATAATCAGTTTGGGATTTGCGGGACAGGTGTGGGCTGAAGACGTACATTTAGAAAATGTTGGTTTAGGCTCAGCGCCTATAGCTCAACCGGCTAAGGCGCCAGCCACGTACACCTAAGGTGGCGGGTTCGAATCCCCAGCCCGGACCCGCCAAACAACAAT